TGTTGAGGTTCACTCCGCTTCATATTTGGATGATCTCTTCAGCCCAGATTGTAGGTGTTGGAAAACGGGTCACCCGTTGGTTAATTTTGGCCTTGGTGACCCATGGCATTGCCACTTTCCCATCCCCCATTCTCTTTAATTGAGGATATTGATTAGTAAGATGTCCTTGCATAGAGCACACCCCATATGTAGCTACACTTTGCACTTTCTACAACCTATGATATAAAAGTAGAGAGATTAGCCATTTGAGATTAAAGTTCTGAAATAGCACTTACCTCATTGACTTGAGTTGGGTGTGCATGTTCTCCTTCTCCAACTCCTTCATATTGTTGTGCATTCAAGGCACGATTCGCAAAAATTTTCGTAGCAACTGGGATTTTGTCAACTAAAGCACCTCCAGCTGCAGCATCAACCATTTGTCTCTCAAGTGGAAGTAGTCCTTCATAGAAATATATTAAAATCTCCTCTTTCATTTGATGTTGTGGACAAGATGCAACTTAAGTCTTGAAACGCTCATAATACGATGGAAATGATTCTCCTGGGCCTTGTTGAATTCCACTAATTCTCTTCCTCAAAAGAATGACTCTAAAAGATGGGAACAATTTCTCTAAGAATGCTTTCTTCATGCTTTCCCAAGAAGTGACAGTTCCAGGTGCTAATTCAAAGAGCCAATCTTTAGCCTTTTCCAAAAAAGAGAATGGAAAGTCTTTCATCTTTAAAATATTCCCATCCACATTAATTGGTGTCATGCTCGAGCACTCTACTTCAAATTCCTTGAGATGCTTGTTCAGATCTTCCATGGATAGCCCATAGTATTTGGGAATGTGATGCAGCAAACTCATCAGTTTTTCCTTGAATTGTTGTAGGGTATTAAATGCAAAGAGGAACAACATTGTCCAATCCTAAGGCTAAAAGTTACTTGATTGTTCAATTTTTAACCGCCATGTCTTTTTCCTCTTCCAGTTCCATTTCAGTTTCAACTTCAAATTCGGATTCAGAACTAGAACTAGGTGAATTGAATTATGGCTGCTTCCCCTTCTTTCTCAAAATTCGTTCAAAATCGTCGTCAAATTCTAATATATTCTCACAAACATGTTGAGAACTTTGAGACATAAACTAGTACCTAAAACAAAAGAAAACAAAACAAAATTAGAAACAAAAGAAAAGACACAAACAGCAACAAAGGGGAAGATTAGAAATTTTGCTAATCCCTAGCAACAGCGCCAAAATTTGATGTGGTAGAACACAAATTAAACCCTATAAATTATGTAATCGTAGTATGAGTAAGTAGGGATCATTCTATTTTGGGGATTAGAAGGGATACTAACCAACACAAATTAAACTTAACAAACTGAAAACTAAGTTAAACTAACAACAAAACAATGACTGGGGGGATTTTGGACGAATTTAATTAAAACAAAAGTAAATGGCAACAAATAAATTAAGTTGTGAATGAAATATGGATGAAAGGATAGCTAAAGGATTATTCTCCACATATTAATCATATGCATACAAATCGATTTCTAGTTATTCTTCCTATAAACCAAGAATGACAATGCCCCAGATTAATTGTGTACATCACTAATTAACTCTCAGATTTTCCTAAGTTCATTGAATTGGACTCAACAATGCAACCAAATTATTCTTCTCAAGCTCCCTAACTATGAAAAGCATGATCGAGATACATCTCGAAGATCATTAAATTATGTGAAAATCATAAGCATTGGCAAGGCAATCGTAACTATGAACAACATGATACTCCTGCCAAGAATTACCTAACTCAATCATGACTAGTGACTTTTACTACTTACAAATATAAGTTCATAACGATTGGGTGAAATTTCCTTATATTCTAGTATCAAATCCCTACATGCAGACTAAGTATGCATCCTTAATAAACATACAAGAATAAGTTTTCTATAAAGCAGATAAGTAAATCACATTCATGTTTTATGAAACAATAATTGGATATAATCAATTTATATAAAACATATCATCATGGCTTCGAATTCACCTCTAGCTAAAAAGAGACTTAGTTACACATGTTCATCATAACTGAAAAAGCAATCTAAAATAAACATTGAAACTTAAAACAAAGAGAGAAAGAACTCTGAAAATTCCAGCAACTTCAATGGATGAATGGTATGCGCGGCACACATCTAAAACGTTACAGGACACTTCATATATAGGGCACGGCTGAATCCAAGGAGGAAAGGGATTAGGCGTTTTAAATTATTTTAGGACTCTAAGAAATAGGTGGAGATTGTTGGAATGTGATTAGGATTCTTCCTTGCAGCTGGAGATAAGATAGGATAAGATAGTGTTTCTCTCCAACTAGGATTCCTCTTTCTTGTCCATCTTCCAAGCCTCAACTTTAATTTCTCCATATTTTAGCACATGTTTAACACCTTTTAAACACCAAAAACGTCCAACCCATATGCTATCCACGCATGCTATCCACGCATACTATCCAATCAAAGTCCAAAACTACTCCAAATTGCTCCATTTGACTATTTATTGTCGTCTATACCAAATGGACCTACAATAATATGAAAATAACTTAAATTACTATCATAAATGGAAATTAATTAAGTAAATGCAAAAAAATAAGATAACAAAATCTCATAAATATACTCCTATCAGTTATAATTCCCCAATCCATTCCAATCCGCCTTGTTTTTTTTATTTTTTTATTTTATTTTAACAAACAATATTATCTATATTAAGGAGGAAGGGGCTTCCAAATTAATTAACATGCCGTTAGATTAAAGCTTTTATAAAAGTACATCACGTATGTTAATTTTGGTCGGTCTTGACATACAAATGTCGCGCTTAGTAAATAGGGTTGTGATTATGCTTAATTAGCAAGAAGTTGCGATTAGAGCTTAGATTCTTATAACTAATTTGATTTAATTTCAGCATTGGAGGGAAATTAAATGAGTTTGAGAGGAAATTATGAGGTGGGGTTGCTTTTATGTAGCTCTAGGTATGTAAGCATATGAAAATGTTTTTACGCTTCCTCTGGATCGGAGAAAGGATACCGAAAGAAAGTGGGAAAGGTTAAAAGGTTAAAAGGGAAAGATAGAATAGAAAGAAAAGAAAGAAAAGAAAGAAAGCAAGAAAGGTGATTCCTTTTGTTCTACATGTTCGGTTCATCGGTTGAGTAACCAAAAAGAAGGATCTGCTTTCCTTGCCAATTTCCTTTACCTCTTTCTGGAACCCAACCCAATGGATTTGAATAATATTGTAACGTTGGTGCCAATTGTTTTGAGTACTTGGGAGTAGTAGGAGCCTACACTTTTTACTTTTGCACATTATATATGGATGTTGATGGTCCTCCAGTGCAAGGAAGAGGGCCAAGTGCTGGCCTAGTGTTTGGTTGTAATCTGTGATATATTTTTTAGGGTAAAGTGTCGATTTAGTCTTTCAACTATCATCTCAGTAAAAATTAGATCTCTGAATTATTTTTTCAGTAAGATAAGTCCCTAAATTCATTAAAAATTGCTAATTTCATCCCTACTATTATATTCAAAGCTATTTTATCCAATTTTTCGTCAACTTACATAACTTGACACATTTTAGAATAATACCGTCATTTTCTCACCTACAAACCCTTAACACTTCATATAGGTTGTAAACCTAACGTCTAATTTACCCACCAAAGTTAACTCTACACACATTTCTTTATGGAAAATTACCAATCTACCCTTCAATGTGTATCACATGCAAGTAACGTGACTTAAATCGACGAAAAATTAATATAGTAGCTTCAAATCTAATATTAGGGATGTAATTGACAAATTTTTATAATCCAAGGACTAATTTTTCTGAAGAAAAAAAAATAGTTTAAGGATTTAAATTTCGCTTAGATGATAATTTAGAGACTAAATTAACAGTTGCACCCTATTTTTTAATACCATGTTCATTTATTGTTTTTCACATAAGGATACGGGAAAGAGGTTCGAACTCAACTCCGTCTTGGATACATGTGGGAAAGGTCGAGATTGAACTCGGGTTTGGGTGTAAGGATAAAATCTCGTTTTCATTGGAGCTACACAGTATAAACCCTAACAACGGGCAACAGCAGAGCCCTAACTTTAAATAGGAGAATATCCAACACCTTCGAATACATGATATGCCAACCAGCTCGCACTAACTAACTAGTTTAGTTTGGGGGTGCAAATACAGCTGTGAACAAGCAAAGCCAGAAGAAACAGTAAACATCATGCAGCCGCTGGACACCAAAACCAAAACAAAATAAAGCTTCCATGAAAGCTACCTCATAGCAACCCAACTAGTTTCACCAAATACCCAAAACTGCTTTCCTTCTACCTTTTCAAGTGCCTTGTTTAGGTTACTTAAAATAAACCACATATTATACTAGAGAAGTGATTTTTTTTAAGATTTTAGAGTCGGATTTGCGGTTCAGTACTACTAACAATCTAGACAACCTGAAAGACATTGGATTTTATGTCAAAAGGCTTCAATGCTATTTGTAATGCAAATATTCAATTATACGTAGTAATATATCATATCAAGTTTCCAACGTGGGATTGCATTTTTCAACAATTTTCACTCCCCCTTTTGTCCTCCTGCACTCTTTTGCTTTTTTTCTGTTCCTTGTCCCAGTGTTGATTAACAGGGACGGTAGCGTAAAGGAATATATAATGTGAAAAATAACTGTCGTTGGGCTGCCATTGTTTGAGCAATGGCAGAACGGGTTGAAGTACTCTAAGAAGCGTAGAAATCCTTTCTTGTAAAATTGCTCTGACTATTTCAGCTAGCTACGCTACTCCACTTGGCCCATTATGTATATAAAATCTCAAACGTCCTCAGTTGTCCTACTTGATTTTGGTTGGTTTTGGACTGTGCTCGTAATCTAAAGCCCACCAACTCATTTTAAAAACCACATTAACTTCAATTAATTTTGGTTGGTTTTGGCTTTGTGTGTTGTGTTCTAACTTTAAGCAGACCAACTAAAATGATAACCACATTGTATATTTGACCAAAAAAACCACATTGTATTGATAAAAGACCTCCTTTTTTTGTTTAATTTTTATATGAGCAATACTAGAGGTGAGCAAAATTTAACATACGTGGCTCGGAGACTAAGGAAATGTTCTTAACCATTTGAACTATAAGACCATTTTTGAGTACGAAAGATGGCAGCACGAAATCAAAACCCCCCTCTAATTCCTCATAATTCCCATACAAAAGGAAAACAAAAACAAAAAAATACAACATTGAAAAAAAGAAGAGGGGAGACTTGGAAGCTAGCTAGCTAGGAGACTAGTTAACTGATCACGAGAAGATGCTTGCAAGTTATGGTACTACATGATAGAGCAGGCATTAGGGTTGTCATCACTGAACATGGTGGTGTAAGGGTCTTCATATTTTGTGGCAGTCCCAGTGGAGGAGGGATTGTTGTCCACATTTCTGACATAACCAGGAGGTGCCTTCTTGTCATAAGCCTGAGCAATGTAGGGCTGGGCCACTAAGTTGTAGGGCACATAAGGCCATATCTCTGCCCTCTTCCCTGTTGACTTTGCCTTCTTCAGCACTTTGTTTGGTTCAACATACCCAGTCACACTCACCTTCTGTTGCTTCCTGTTTATCTCCACAGATTTAACTCCTGCTCAACATTCAACATACAGCATTTTTTATCAGCTCAAAGTTTGCAACTTTCGACTTACCCCAAAGTTGGATGACATTTGTAATTTGTGACATAAACTAGGAAAACAGAAATGCAGAAAAAGAACATACCAGTTAAGGAAGAGAGAGCATTCTTGACCTTAAGCTCACAGCCATCACAGTCCATCCTGATTTTGAGCTCCACTGTCTGTAATTGCTTCTTCTTTTTGTGTTTGTGGCCACTGTTGTTCACCAGATCAGACAAGTACTCCAATGTTCCTCCGACTCCCATTTTTTGCAGCTTTTTTAAAGGTCAAAAGTTCTCAGTTGATGCCTTTCAACAAACCCTTGATGAGCAATTTATATGGAGAGTTTAGGTCCCTTGAGAAACTGCAAGGAAGGAAGGAGCTTCCCTTCCTTGCTGTTGCTACTGCTGAACAATTTTATTAAATGGATTCTTTCCTTGCCGTACAGCACTCAAAGTCTCTCTTTTACTTCCTATGACAGCTTTCTTTCACGCAGCCCCTACTTCCTTCTTATACAGCCTTTTCTTTTTTCTTTCTTAAAAACAAAAAACAAAAAAAGAAACAAAAACCAAAACAAAACAAATAAAAAAATTATTCAAATTCAAACAGAGGAAAGTCGCGGGTCACCCCAAACAGCAGGAAACAATAATTTTCTGTTTCTGGAGGTTGAATTGATTGAATTAAAAATTTGATGTGCAGGTTCTTCACATCTTCATTCTTGAATAGAGAATTCATTATTCTTTATGTGGAAGAAATGACATATGCATGCACAAGTTGAAGACATTTTCCTCTTTATAAAGCACCTTTCAGGTGGTAATAACAGGTAAAACAACATCATAAATTTACTATTAAGACAAGGGACTCAATGTATCTTAGATTTGATAGAATCACAATGGGAAACTACGGCGGGGGCAATGAATCCTCCTCTTGGCACCGGTGCCTCTCCAAATAATGTCGAAATTACGTGTTGTTATATATATATATAGATTGCAGAGGTTAGTTGAAGCAAGGTTCTCTTCTATCGTGATTCAGTCTGATTCTCAAAGCTTATTCAAAAATTTGCTATCAGAGGAGAGTTGGATGTAGATGGGTTGCCAATTGCAAATTCAGTTGAGTTCGTTTGAGTGTAATCATATTCCTATACCATGTAATTATGTAGCTCACCGGTTAGCAAAAACATGCTCTTTCATGTCAAAATTGTTTTGTTTGGTGTAGCTCAAAAATTTACTAAATGGATGTTTTTTTTTTCCGTTATCTCCTCATTCATGACTTTTCAATTTCACGTAAATATATCATAAGTTTAAGTTAAAGTTTTGTATATGATGAAGAAATAGTAACAGTGTAAATCTAAAATTGAAAATATATTGGACCGTATCGTAAATATCTCGAGACACAGGGATTTGTGTGCAAAAAAAGGTCTGAATTAAAGCCACACTTCCTAAGTAAATTCTTGAAAGCAATGTTGGTTCAAAGCATATGATAGAATATTAAATTGTTAATAACAAATTTAACAATTTAATAATTTGATATGAAAGTGAAAGCAGCTTCCACGTTCGGAGAGAACAACACCAAACGCCAATTAAAGTAAAAATATAGGCGTCTGTGGAGACACGTGGCGAGAATCAAATGGTGGAGAGGGTGTGAGTGGCCCCACCGGGAGCTGGCCGCTGCCTCTAAATGTGGAGAGGGTATTCGCTTAGGCGTTTTTTTTCTTCAAGATTCGTTTAGTCGTTTGATTGGGTTTTGTTTGGGGTTTTAATTGGTCAAACAGTAGGGCACCAGAAGGAGAGAGATATAGATGAATCCGGAGCAAATAATGCCATGACATGAAGAGAAAAAATTATACATATATTTCTATTAAGGTAGAGACTGTAATTGTCATATGAATTAAAATATTAAATAATTTGTCGTACTAACATTTCGAAATCATTAATTTGTCATCTTACTTTAACTTTATAAAGTTTTCCTTCTAAAATAAGTCATGTGCAAATAACTTGTATTCAAAGTTATTTTGGACATTTCATAAAGAATATCATCTAGCTTTATCATAAATTGAAAGGCTCCCCACTAATTTTGTCATCTTCGCTTTGGGACACACAAAAGAGAATGCAGGTCATTACCTTTTACCGAACGACAAATCCTCAGATCCTCTTATTCCAGATCAACCTCCTTTTTATATTTTTTGAGAAACCCTAGAATTATTTTTATCAAAAGCAATATACTAGAAGAGTGAGATGTTGAAATGTCTGGAATAACTCTAAACACAAGTTATTTTGGATGAAAAACTTAACGGAGTTAAGATGAAATGACAAATTCATGATTTCGAAAAGTTGGTTTGACAAATTGTATAAGATTTTAGTTTATATGATAAATTGAAAAAGATATATAAGTTCATATGATATTTCAAAAAAAAATCCTAATATTGTATTATTGACATAAGAGGATACGGTAAGAAAAAAGGAATACATCATGAGTAACCTAAAAGACATAATGTAACTTAGGCACACACCTCCAAAGCGTTTAGGAATTGAAGCAATTCACATCGGGCAATAATTTTGTTCGAATAAACGTAGTTCTTGTTGCGATTTATGTTTATTTATGAATGTGGTTGTGTAAATTTAAAGTAGGTATCTTAATGGGGTTTGAAGATTAAATACTTATATGCTTTTGTATTATTTGTAAGACAATAAAATCTGTCATGATTAGTATAAATAAAAATATAAGGCAAGGAGGTGAAACACAACTCCCACAAGCACCGGAGTCATTATTTTCTCTCTCCCATCCCTCTCTCTCACCCTCTTGTATAATTAGTTTCAACAGTTCTATCATATTTTAGTACTAGATATATTTATAGGAAAACCCACTATTTTATGGAACATTCTCATACACCATAATATGACCAGTCAACATGATAATGCGAATTATGTGAGAATGGTTTATCGCCATGTGACATTTCGATGCAATAATGTTATTTTATGTGGTGACAAACTAACACAAGACATTGTTTTATTGGAATAGAACACTACAATGATGGTGAACACCTTCTATATAAGTCATTCTCCAATAAAAATAAGCCACATTGTATACTGTTAAAGTACACTTCAAATAAAAGTTTGCTTTTCGTTTCAATGGCAAGCTTATCAAATATCGTTTGGATAGCGTTGTTTGATAATCATTTCAAGTTTAGTTTTAAGTTGTAAATGTGTAGTTGTTTGGTAACTACTTTCAGTTTTCAAAAACCAAAAATTGAAAGCCAAATTTTAAGAACTAAAAAGAGAACTCTATTTTTGGTTTGAAAAATGATAGTTACCAGATAAATTTTTAGTTTTCAATTTTTTTTTCATAGAAAAACAACTAAAAAAAAATAAAATTTATCAAATGACCATTTAGAGATATTATTTTTTTATGGTAAACTATCAATTTGGTCCATGAATTATATGTGAAAGAAAATTAAGTCCTAAACTATTTTTTAGGAAAAATAATTCCTTAAACTTATTAAAGACTTTTAATTTCCCCCATACTATAAGATGCGAAGTCGTTTTGTCTAGCTTTTCATCAATTTAAGCACGTGACTTGCATATGATACACTTTCGAAGATAATTTTATCATATTGTGACCCATAAGCCCTTAACATTGTATATAGGTTACGAATCTGACTATTGTTTTACCCTCCAAAGTTAACTCCATAGATCAATTTTTTTTCAAAAAAAATAAGTCCTTAAACTCATTAATGACTTTCATTTTACTCTCTAAAGTGTGTCACCTGCAAGTCGCGTGACTTAATGAAAAATTAAATAGAATAGCTTCGAATCTTGAAGTATGGATGAAATTGAGAGTTTTTAAATGAACTTAATTTTCTGAAAAAATAATTTAGGTCCGGGATTAATAATTCATGGCCGAAGTTGGCACATTATTCTTGTTTATAAGGAGGATGGTTGAAGTAGACGGTCTTAAGTCTTAGCTGTTAGACTTGATGCACAAATCCACAAACGCGTTTAGTTGCTGGAATAATTTGTTCTTAGTTCCTGATGTTCTACTAGCTTGCTACCTAACCCAGGCTATCATCCCCACTTTCTTTTTAGTTCTTTATTTCTTTGAATTTTCTATTACTTTGTTATGTTCCAGCCTATCAGACCTGTCTCTTGAAAGTTCAGTTCTAACACTTATTTAAGAGAATATATTTGTTTCTATAGGTATGTTGAGTGTCCCCCAGCAACCTCATTTGTGGGTCTTCGTATGTTTATTAATTAACATATATCATTTATTCTTTTTGTGGGACTATGATTTTTTTTAGGATCAGGGTAAGGCTAATCTAAATACAGTTACTTTAGAAGTCCGATCATGGACTCATCAACTCCAAGCAATCCTGTATCAAACAGAGTAGCGGTGCCCACCATCACCATACTCCGAGGCAATAGGCTGGATGACGAAGTAAGGTTGTATCAAACAAAGTAGGGGATGGCCATGCTTGTTCTGCAAAAAACGCAATCTTATCTGGATATGGACACAATTAGATCCTTTAAGTCTTGAAGTTCCTCCAATCTAAGGATTAGCGTGCTCCGCAAGTAATCACAACCTCCTAAGAGGTGCAATATCTACTTCTAGATATTCTCTAGGATTTTCCTAGTTTAGAACGACGTTCTATCCTAAAAAGGTCTATCTCCCACGGTGTAAATGCCACTGTTTAAAAATTGGCCTAGGAGGAGCCTAGGCGCTAGGCTTTGGAGGACAGATGCAATTTAGTCCCAAACGAGAAAAAAAAATGGGGTAGGGGCTAGGCGGTTCTATTGTTTTTAATTTTTTTTTTTTTTTAAATTAACTCAAGGCTTTTCTAGGTAACCTACTAAAAGGAAATTAGTGAATTTTCAATTTTGGTTTTTGGTTTTTCTTATTTTTATTGCATTAGCTTGTAATGATGGTAATGCCATGATGACTTAAGTTTTAAGTTGTAAGTTTCCCAAATTCTCAGTACAAGTATAACTTTTTTTTTTTAGTGTAAGTAGGCACTTATTTATATGTTATATAATAAACTTAATTAAATCCGCCTAGGCCCCCCACCTAACTGTCTTGGCGTTAAGCCCTAGCGCGCCACCCGACTAGCGCTTAGTGTTTTTTAGAACCTTAGTACATACACCCATCTAAGATTCATCTATATATAGTAACGTAATCTAAACACTTCAATTCTCTTGCCTACTACTTGAGTAATCATTCACTAATTTGACCGTCGAAAATCCTTTGGCTAGTACAACCCCCTCTCCCCTGTAGGCCCTAGGCTTGCTCTCGGCTGTTTATTGTTTTGCAGGTTGAATGTAAGTATATAATGAACTCTAAGTATTTGTTGAATGTATTGTTTTGACGGGATACGTTTTCTACGAAACTAGTTTCAACTATCCAACCATCAAACTTGTTTGTATATACTCTCAAATCTCAAACGCCAAGAATCACCTTAAACAAACATTCAAGGATTAGGTAATGGGATGAAATCCTTCCCTGGTTACAAACGAAACATTCACGATTTAACATTCATTTTAGCTCCGATTTTGATGATTTTTACTACACTCATCGACCCTAGAAGAATATAATAACGAACCCGACCATCGATTTAAAATATTTACATCAGTGAATACCACAAGATCTTACGTTTTACTTAATAGAACGTTTAGAATAAACTCTAAGTGTTTGTAGAACGTATTGTTTTGACAGGATATGTATCTACAAATCTAGTTTCAACGATGCAACCATCAAATTTGTTTGTATATATTTTGAGATCTCATATGCCAAAATTCTCAAAAACAAATGTTCGGGGATTAGGTAACGGAACGAAATCCTTTGAAGGTTACAAACAACAAATCACGATTTAACAGCTATATGACCTTTGATTGATTTTTTTTTTTTTTTAAGGACGGTAATT